CTAGATTTCTGTAATACCTATTTTTTCATGTGGTACTTGTTGAATTCATTAAGATCTCAGAAAACTAGGTAACATCTGTACTTTTTAAAAACCTACTGTCCATAAAAAAACTTCGCTATGTCTCATATACCCTCTCCTTAGTGGAATAAGGCTGGTTATCAAGAACAGGAGGATTATTTTGGATTTTCTATATCACAATCATGTGACCTGTGAATAAAGTAGTTTTACTTCTTTGTAAACCTTTTCATTTTTTAAAATTTGTTTTCTTTGTTTGCCTCAGTGCATTGACTAGAACCTATGTGTAGTACAATGTTGAATTAGACAAAGTCCTGGTCCCAATCTGGAAGGGGAAGCATTCGATATTCACCATTAAGTATAATTACCTGTAAGTTTTTTGTGCATACACATTACCAGATCTAGGAAGTTCCCTGTATCATTTGCTTACAATCTTCTTTAAAAGTATTTCTTGTAGCGTAGGTCTGATAGCAATGGATTCGCTCAGCTTTTGTCTGCCTGAGAATGTCTTTATTTTGCTTTCATTTTGAAAAGGATATGTACACTGGATATGTATTTATTCTAGATTGGCAGTTTTTTGCTTTCAGCACTTTAAAAGATGTCATTCCATTGTCTTTTGACTCCTGTGGTTTCTATAAAGAAATCAGCTATTTGTCTCATTATTGTTCCCCTGAAAGTAACGTACCCTTTTACCTGACCTGCTCTTATGATTTTTTTATCTTTCTCAGCAGTTTGACTACGCTGTGCCCAAGTGTGGTTTTCTTTGTATTTATCCGGCTGTAGATTCACCAGACTTCTTGAATCTGTAAGTTGATGTCTTTCCATCCCACTGGAAAAATTATCAGCCATTATTTTGAAATTTTGAAGCCATTGAGGAGATGGGAAAACACTACTGGTCCTATGACTGGCCTACCAAAAATGAGACTTTTTCTAAGAAAAGCCCTAGAATGAACTATTCAACTAAAACAAATGTTATATGTGGGGATATTCTTATCTCCAGTCAGAAGGTAGGAGGATGTCTGTTGGGGGAGGAAATGCCCTACCAAGTAGAAACCTTACGGTGCCTGTACATTCCCAGATAGTCACTCTTTATCCTAGAGTGATGCTTTCCTGGATGTAGGTGGACTCATTCCATCTCTATGACAGGACCTAATGGAAACTGTTAGCCCAGTAAGAAACCATTTGGGGTGATAATAAATGGGAGACAAACAAATGAGCCAAATTGACAGTACACAGTAACACTGAACTCTACATTTTTTGGTCATACCTTTATTTTACTCTCCCATCTTTCCAGTACACTAGAACAAGCAATGTTCATTTCTACTCCACTGCCTAAACAGCAATCTGTTTCTACTACCTACTGTGAGTTTGCTTTCAGGATTATCTGTATACTATGTCAATCTCCTTGATATCTTTAGTTATTGAAGGAGAAAAGCTGGTGTATCTTCTACCCCTTACCTCCATCAAAACTCCATTAATTTTGTTAGTTTGTTAATTCTGAACCCTGAGATTCTAAGACATTAACCTACCTGGATGAAAATCAACATTTGGTTAGTCCACTTGCTAAGCTGAATGGTGGATAAATTCTTTAGCAAAGAAAGTAAGCTCAAAAGCTACTTTCAGGGCTGGCCCGGTGGCGCACTGGATAGTGCGCCGCTTGGGAAGTGCGGCGGCGCTCCCGCCCAAGGGTTCGGATCCCACATACAGACCGGTTCCCGCTCACTGGCTGAGCGAGGCGCGGGAGCAACACCGAGGGTTGCAATCCCG